GGATAGTAGTTAAACATGGTTCAAATGGCAATAAAACAATAAAATTCAATTATAAATACATGTATAATGTTATGAACTTAGATCTACTGAGTATAAACGAATGTAGTTTCATGTTAGAATTTGAAGTCATTCATTAGGTTTATTTAAATATTTTTTTGGGTGGTTATGAGGTCTGTCGACTGACTAATCCTGTTTTGAGATAGGGTAGAGAAAATAACAGATAAACTATAAAGTTCTACTGAAAAAAAACCTGTGAAATGCATTTAGGCGGTTTTTGGGATTACACAAAGGAAATTTGAAATTTTTGAGATGAGAAAAAGTATTTTTGATTTTAACACAAAAATTACTTTGCATACGGACTATTCAAAACAAATACTCAATATATTCATCGACAAATCTTTATTTTATTTTATTAAAAATACTTACTAAGAAATATAACTTTTTGTATGTGAAAGACTTGTAATATTAACTGAAAGACTGCCAAATTGTGTGAATATATACCCACTATATTGAGATTTATAAGTATTAAATCTATAAAGACTTTAAACAAGTACAAAAAAGTCACGTGGTCAGTCAAATCAACCGAGCCCATATTGAGTTTTTTAATGATCTTAAAGGATCTTATCTAAGGACTTGCTAAGATAAGACTGTCAACTGGGTGGATTTGGATATCACAAAATATATTTATACTCCTTTTTTACTTCCTAGCACAGTGTCAAATCACAACGTTAATATAATGAAATTAGAATTAACAGCTACAGGACATAGAAGGTTCGAAATTTCTTACTTCTGAAAAATTTTCAGCAAGTACTGGAGAAGGAGTTGAAGGGGTGTTTTACTTGACTTTTTCTTGACTCTACATGATCGAGGTTCTCTAAATGACTGTTCTGCAAATGATGTGTCATCCACAATCTGTCTTTTTGTTGGAGGTTCATGAGTAGTTGCATCATCCTCAGTCTGAGCAATTACTTCAGCTTTTTCTTCTCTGACTCTTTCATGCTAAATACCCAAAACAACAACAAAAGCATAAAAATCAAGTATTTTAACACTGGCCAAAATTAGCCACCACTGACAATAAACAGACAGAAGTGAATAATAACCGAGGGTTCTGATTATATACACAAAAATGAAATCATGCCTTTCAGTGCTTTAATTACACCTAGTTATCACTGATCTAACAATGTGAACAATATTACTCCAAGTCTTATTCTTAAAGAAAAAAAAGTTGTAGGTTGCATAGCAAAAATTGTGATGTTTAGGAGTTGTAAAAAAAAATTCTTTGCCCATAGTTTAGTTTAATTTTTTCATGTTGCTAAGTTTTAAGAAAAAACACTGTTTTTATTTGTGACAAGTACCTTATGTGGTTTCTTCTTGTATATTCTTACTGATGGCACACAAACAAGCCTTTTGTTAAGCTTTTACAAGCCAAAACCAGATCTTCCTGTTATAAAGAATCTCTAACATTCATCCATATCCTTTAGTCTGAATCATACCACATCTTAACAGATATAATTTTTTTAATATATAAAATAATCTAAGAGATGAACAACTGATAAACAGGTGAGAAATAGTTTGAAAAAGATGGCATTTAATGCTCTCTGCATGTGCATCCTTTACTGTGCATATCATAAGGTTTTTAGTGACATACATTCAAAATTTATTTAAAATATTTATGTTATACCAATTAGTATAGCATTCAGTCTACAAGACTTAAGTTTTAAATTTTATAAGGCAATATTTAATAAAATTCTTGAATTTCCCCTAATGTCTGAAACCAAAGTTCCCAAAGTGATTTACAACATATAATGATGTGAATAGTAGTCAGACATGGTTCAAAGGGCAATAAAACAATAAAATTTAAGTATAAATAATTGTACACTTTACAAGTTTAAAGTTACTTATGGTAAACAAATATAGTTTCATGTAATAATTTGAAGTCATTCTAAAGAGAAAAAATGGGTAATTTAGATTTATTTCAATATTTTGTGGTGTCAAATTGGCCACCCTTGTACAGAGTTAGGGTAGAGAAAATAACAAATAAAATATAAAGTTTTATTGAAAACAAACATTTGAAATGTATTTAGGAGGTTTTAGAGATTATGCAAATAAAATTTGAGATTTTTGAGATGAAGATAAGGTTGAACTTGAAGGGAAACTGACAATTCTCTCTATAGAAAACAATTTAATATTATACATCATTTGACAGATGAAAACCTTGGTTTTCTATTGGTTATAAATAATATAGTATTTAACATCAGTAAGAACTATTGGCAGTTTCTGAAAGAAAGAATGTGACAGGTGGGTGTGGAAAGAGGGGTCTGGTTGTCTATTTCACAGCTCTGTAATCAAATAAGAATGAAGGCTATAAAAATTATGCATTGCTTGAATGATGATGATATTAGAGTAAGTAATGTACATTAAATTTCATACTTCTTGGAGGAGGAGTAAATAAATTAGAGAAGAGAGGATGCCTAGAGACAATTCTCACACTAGGGGAAATTCAAGATTTCTTTAAATATTGCCTTATAAACTTAAAGTGATTTTCATAAGGTTGAAAATAGTTTTCTTAACTTGAAAATTTTCAACTTTCATTTGTGTAATCCCTAAAACCTCCTAAATGAATATCAAAGGTGTTTTTTTTTTCAGAAAAACTTCCTATTTTATATGTTATTTTCTATACCATAATTCTATACAGGGTCTGTTCATTTGACCAATCTCATAACCACCATAAACAGATTAGTAATTAATTCTACATTACACTGTTTTCTTCCTGCAATGACTTCAAACTGTAACAGGAAACTAGAATTGTTTATCCTAAATAGCTTAAAGCTTGTAACAGTATACCTCTACTTATACTTAATTTTATTGCTTTATTGCCTGTTAAACCAACTCTATCTAATGATCCTGCCACACAAGTTGTAAATCACTTGGCAATCATGTAGCTCACAGTACCCTATAGAATTACAATATTTTCAAAACCAGACCCAAAACTCAAACACTTTTGAATAGCTGACTATTCTTCTTAAGGAGAATAAAGGGTTATGTTGCTAATATTTAAATAAATTATCACATAGATATTTTCATTTTCAACTGTGTATTGCATGTTTTTATGTAGGTTGTTTATGTATTGAAGGAATTTTGTTTGTTCATCTTAACAAGTGAAGCAGCAACAAACATCATCTACAAAACTAAACCAAAATACAGGCTTATATAAGAAAGTAAGTATGGCATGTTGTTCTATGCAATGTAAGAAAAGAGTGGCCAGAGTACCTGATGATGAATTTCCCCTGGCAATTCTATGTAACTGAAGGAAGTATGATTCTCCATGTTGAAAGCAAATAAATGTGGCTAGTTGTAAAAGTTTTAATAGGTGTTCCTGTTTTATGTGAATTTTCATTTTGATGTCTTGTGAAATAACTTCTGCACAAAGTTTCACAGCGTCATGACAAGGGGCTTCAGGGAATAGATTTACAACATCAAAGCTAGAATAGTAACATTACTGTCTAAACTATACAACTGTTGCAGGATGTGCGAAGTGCTTTTTAATCAGATACATATTTTGGAAACATAAGGTTCAAAAATCCAATTGAAGTATTTACCAACGTTGTAATATAAAGAGTTAAAAGTAGACATAATTGGATGTAATCTTATTGGGTTTATGGAATTTCAGTAAACCATAGATTTTTGGTGTTCTTCGCTGATTTGTACACAAAAAATTGTAAAGTTTAAAAGTAATAGTTTTTTTTTCTTTTAATAGTATTTTGAGTAGTTTGTTAAATTTTTTTATCATATGTTCATTTATTTGACTAAGTAAATTTAGACGTATCATTCAATATATTTACCATTAAGGAATCATACTGTTTGGTTGGTAGAATTATAATAAAGTTTCCTTTAGTGGCTCTTTTAAGAAGAGGCACATGATAGAAAACCAAGTATAATTCAAAATTGTGTATGAAAATAGGAAGATTAATACCATATCAGAATATTGCTGTGGTGGTAAGAGTGATGAAAACTTGTGTATGTGTATGTGTGGGAGGGGATATGTAGGGGTTGTGTATTAAGCAAGTACTGGCCTTGTTGACTAAATGACTATCAAATACCACAATTTTCAGGAGTGTTCAAGAAGCTGAATTAGAATTAGAACAAAAACCTGCTGTTATGACATCTGGAAACAGATGAAGCTATTTCATGGACTTTAAATAAGAAAATCAAATCATGATGTCACCTACTGAGTGTACTATTACTGAAACTGTGTGAACTACAAACTTTAAACCGGGTCATGTCCAAATTTAGAGAAGAGGCCTAATGTAACTAGATGATTACTGATTATAATAGTTGCTAAAAAGCGAGAGGTAAGTTAATTTGTAGAATTATACACAGACTTTTCTCAACTTTAATATACTTTTATTTGCAAACTTTCAGCTGAAATGTTGCAAATAAAAGTATTTTAACACAGAGAAAAGTTACCTACATTACGAGTCTTAAACAACAATTATCAGGCAAGTTAATTCTCCATACTTGATGACAGTGTGGCTGACATCTGTGATGGTGGTGGTGATGGTGATGATGGTGACCGTGGTGATGATGTCTATGTTTTCTTTCATGCTTTTCCCGATCAGTAGACTTTTTTTTCTTCTTCTTTTTTGATTTTTTATGCTTTGTTGTGGAAGACTCTTCATAGTCTTGTTTAAATGAATGAAAAAATGGTTGTTCCGGTTGAAGTTGTGGTGGTTGAGGAGAAAGATGAGGTGGTGTTTCTGGTAAGGGTGGAGGTGCAGTGGTTGCATGCACACTGTTACTTCCACCAACCTTTAAGACTAGTTTCAATGGCTTTTCCACTCTATCTGGAATACAGACAAACATATATATATCTAAGTATTTAAATCTCTTTATAAACCACCGATTCAACATATTAGAAGTTACTCTAAGTACAGTGCAAACTAAAGTCACAGAATGACTTAAAGACCAAAATAAAATATATACTGCATAAAATTGTTCATTTCTAAAAATTATGGTATACAACAAATAAATGCTTGGTACATAACTATTTAAACATAAACAAAAGAGGTAAACAAAGAATTCCACCTGTTCAAATTTAACCATTTATGAGGACATAAAATATTAAATACATACAGAATAATACATAATAAAATACAGAAGAGCAAAAACCTTATGCAAACTGGTTTCCAAACAATTTTTTCATACAGTATGGTCATAACTGTTTTTTTATGCTTATTCCTCTTACAATACACAAAAATAAATTATTTCATATACCATGAAACCAGTTTCCAAAATGACAGAAGCAAGAATATACTGGATATGTTGTTTTAAATTCTAAAACACATTAATATACAATTCAAAGTTCTTACTGATTACCTCAATAACAGTAGCACCTTTCATAAAAATAGGTTATTTAGAAATAGGGGCAGAAATTAAAAATAAGTTTAAAACAACCACTAAACTTGTTACATAATTTGTAACACAAAGCTCACAGATGCTAATCAGTTTTAGTAAATGGCAAACAGAAATGTTTTTCATAAGACATTCTAAGTTTGGTGTTGCAATGAAAAACAATAAATTGGCTCAAAATTGCATGTAAAGTTACAGAATATCTATATATTAAGTTAAAGTGTATTGCAAGTGTGGTGTTGTAATAATGAGAAAGAACATGGTAAAATATCACAAAGTTCACATTTTATTGTCAGTCTCAATTTATAGTCCACCAGAAAAGAAGTTCACTAAAATATAATCTATTAAAATTAGAAATATCTACAGTTTTTATGGCTGATTATTTTCACTAAACTAATTATAATGCAATTTTTAAAAACTATAGTTTTCTAGTCTACCACAAGCAATCTAATTACCAAAAAAATTCCCCTATCAAGAACATTATGGTTTTACATCACTCAACCATTGCCATGTACAAGAAACCACATCCAAGTTACAAGTTCTATAGCTGTATACAGTATTCAATAAAAAATGTGTAGCAGTATAATAAGTAATTGTTATATAATGGAATTATTGAGATTTTAATAAATTGTAACACATTCTCTTATATCTAACATTCTCACAAATGAAAACAAATCAAAATTTACATTTTCTTACATAGCATTCTAATGGCCATTTATTTCATATGGTATAAAAATAATTTCATTTTCCTGTTTAAATAAATAAGGTAAAAAGATACAAGTAGGGTGCTATCCAAATACCACTATATTTACGAATACTACTATATGTAGTCATAAAGGGATAGTGAAAATTAGCTAAAAAAATGAAAATGATTAGAACAATAATGGCCTATATTTTGACTTCTCTTGCTTTTGCAACAAATTTTATAGTTTCTACGAAATATTTGTTCAAATAAGATTTGAAATGGTATTTTTTAGTTTTAATTAATGATTTTAAACATGTTAGGCAGGCTACTGTAAATTAACACTACTCTTTGAGGCTACAAATGTAGATATTAATGTGACAGTATGCTGCATGGTAAAAAGCATATCACACTTACAAATATTTGCAAGAGAAATTTTTTAACATACATGCACATTAAATGTTCTTGGAAGTTTCCCTCAAACTTGGCTTCTTTGGTTGTATTGAATTCAAAACTATGGAGAAAAAACATTCCAAAACTGTTTAAAAAACATATCAAATGAGCTGATTGTCATCTGTAAGTCAGGTAGACAGTAGCACTGTCTACATAGAGACGGCTTGGATTATTCATCGAAATAGTATTTTAAATATCTCCTCAACAGGTCATCAGAACTTTACAATAATATACAGTGTTTCCTTTTATAACTATTTATGTAATGACTGAGTCACAAGTTCTGGGAATATCTGTAAATATCATAGCAAAAAGTTTGAATTTCTTGTTCTTCCTGCTAATTCTCTTTTATTACATAACTCTAAAACTGAAATAATGGTGTCAACAAATTTCACTGAGGTGACATAGTTTCAAATAGAGTATCTGCTTTAATAAGTATTATCAATAACTAGTAGTAATTTTTAAAAATTATAAATCTAGTGTAAAAAATGTTAGCTTTCTTAGCAGAAATTTGGTGTTCCTTTAAAAAGCACAAGTATGGGGTGAAACAAGAATAACCAACCATTCATAGATAAACAGTAGATATTACAGTTGGAACATCACTGTATTTAGAACTTGGTTATAAATACAACCTTCCTATGTCTATTGAAACACTGCATTAAAAAAAACAAGCAAAAAAATGAAGTAAATGTAGAGATGGCTAATATTCGTCCTTGAAAAACAATGCAAACAAGATAGTAGAGATGCCATAGAATGGCTGAGCCACATCAGATAGAATTTAGTGGGTCAACTCCAGTCTATGGTCCATGGTAGGAGGAGGGTCTCGACCATCTTCACCTCAAGCCACAAAATCATAAGGGAAAATCAACTTCCATTCCAACAACCAAGGCAACAACCAGGAATTTTTCATTTAGTCAACAGTAGGATGAAGACCCCCTACCAATCACATGTGTGAGGGCTTATGTTGACTGTTCCTAAACTGATCCAACACCAGACCACCCAAGAACCAACATCCAGACAGCAGTAGGCTGGGTGAAATTCAGCTGGAGGAGTGAACTGCATGTGCTGCATTTGTCCAGTCCAAAACCAAATGGCATCGGGAATTTTTCATCTGGTCCACAGTAGGAGGAGAATACTCTCAATCTCACCAACAGAACACCTCCATCTTACTCTTGATCAAGTGGAATCAGTCACACTCAGAAGCCTCCAATGTTCTCTACCCCAGTGGCTAGGAACTGGTAAGTGGCAAGGACTCCCATACTCCATTGGAAGAGTGGAGAGAACAACACTGTGGAGAGTTTTGAGGATCACAACACCATAAAAAAGTGCAATGGATGACCATAAAAACCCAATTTTAAAAAGCATGCCAGTCCTGATTTATTTAACCAGGATTGGAGGGATGGTCAGCAATCCCGATATTGCTTTATTCGTGACAGTCAATGAGTTGGTACAGTCTAGTTCAGATCTTATTTATGAAGGAAGATACCATGAGGTAACCTCAAGTGGTCTTGTGGAACACCCCATCTCATCAGTGAGCATTGTAAACCTACACGGCCTTATGGTGCAGATTTATGTTGAAGTACACCTGGAGAGGCACCACTCACCACAAAGCAAGATTCCAACAATGAGAAAAGAGGCTACTGTAATGATAAAAAATAAAAAGAAAGAACTTACCCACTCACAGACAAAATGAGGTGTGGAGAATGGCAAGAGGAGGCAAGCGATAGCCTGATAAGGAGGAGGTGGCCAAATGATGAAAGTAGTTGACAATAAAAGTATACGGTGTGGTCCACTTGCCAGCCTGTGTAATCTCCTACAATAGGCGATGGAAATGAGCAACCAGAGAAAGGGTGAGTTGATGTATTTGGAGGGAGGACACTTGGAAAATTCAGTTTGAATCCCCAGATAGCAATGCATAAACAAGCCGAATAAGTTGGAGCAGCCAACCAGAAAGAGTAACAGGAGAAAGTTCATGGTTAGAGAAAGTATTCCACATTATAAATAGGCAGGAATGGGTTCCATGGAAGAAAGCAGTGCAGGTGATATAACAATGTAGAGTACATACTAGGCAAAGAAGCCGATCACGATCAGCACAGGAATACAAATGAAAGATGGAATGAAGGGAAATAGGCATGAAGGTGAAGTCCTCTACATGCGCAACTGATATTTTTGGGGGAAACAATATGATCCAGATAAAAGAACACATAGGTATAGTGACAGAGGATACAGAAGACATGATACATATAAATTCAAAACTCTATTTAAAAAAAACCTTCACACTTTCCACTCTTTATCCAACAGTTATAAAGGAGATTGCCTGTGGTAATAGCAACCAAAAGCATTGGGGATAATCCCGTGTATCAGACAAAATCTAAAAAGCAGACAACAAACCAGTCAGCAGTCGTTGAAAATTCATTAAGGATATAGAGTTGAGTGTTTACACCTACAACGTCTCAACTCTTACTGCCTTTCACTGTCTGCAGCCAGTTGTGAGAAGGCAGTTAACAATCACAATCAATTTTTTAAATTAATGCATACTTCAATATCAAACAGTTTGTATGTATTAACCCTGAAGAAGCTGTAAAAGTGAAACATTGGTAGTAACAAAAAAAACAAATATATTTGCATCTGGAGGTAAAGGTCGTTTATCTAAACTTTTATCACAATCTGCTAATAGTGTTTTATTTAAATTTTCTAAAGTTTTTATGACAGGTTCATTATTTTAATTATCCAGAAATCTTGTTTATTACTTGCATTTTGATGTAATTTAAAAAATAACTGATTTAGTAAATTCCTGAATAAACCTGAACTAGAAATAAAATGAAATTTAATAGGAAATTTTTGTAATTCAGGTATCTCATATAAATATGGTGATTCTGAATATGTATTTATTTTAACTAAACATTTTTTATAGCTTCCAACAAGTTAATAATATCTACTTCAGACTTATTCTGCAATTTAAAAGTTATCTATCAGATTAGTTAGAATTTGGACATAAAAACATTTACAGATAAAGCCAAAATTACAGTTGACCTTATTGATAGGTACAATAATATGTTTTATTTTACGGAGATTAGATATAAAATGAAAAAAGTTATATCTATTGGATATTTAGTTAATTTAACAAAAGCTAGTTTTTCTTAAATTCTATTAATAACATAATATCTCCATTCTACAAACCAATTTGGAGGTTAATGTGTAAATAATTAAGTTTCAAAATATAATCACCTAAATTTTTCTTTATTGAATTTAGTGTGTCCACTTTCTTACATTTTATAGCTATTCTGTACTTAGCACCTTTTT